AATGAGTGGGAAAAAGAAAACAAAAAAAAAATTTGACGACATGTAAAACTATTTAAAGTACTTTGCAAGCTTTATAATATTGCTGAATATATATTATTCAAACATTGTTGGACTTCACAGTTCAAGAATATCCCAAGGAGTCCATTGACACTGGCTAGGGTTAGACATATGTTTGGTCCAAGAAAAGTCGAGAATGAAATTAATTACATGCGATTCTCCGTACACATGGAAGTGAATAAAGCACGAAAATGAAGATATATGTAATTTTCGAAATCAATTGAAAAATCTTAATTATATTCTTTATAAAGTAGCTAGCTAATTATGCAAAGGGAGAAGAACTCGCCTTTTGTGCATGTAATTTTGCAAAATAAAAGTTTTCGATACCAATGTAAATATTATAGAAGAAAATATAATGGATAAGTTAATCAAACAAATTTATGCTGATAAAGACACAACGAGTGATTCGAAACAAAAGGAAAACCATCTAAATTTTAGATGTTGATGGAAAATGAAGAAAAAATTAAGAAAGTGCAGCACTTAGAGAGGATATGAGTATGATTGATGTGTGAAAGGCTTTTCAAGCACCAAATTCATTAGGGGTTTGTGAAGATAGGGTCCTACACGAAACACTAATAAACAATTAGCTAATAAAAGGAACTGTTGGTGTTGATGAGCCATTTCTAACATAAGCATGACGGTTTCGCCAAGCCTCGGTTTATTATATGGTTCTCATTTTGATTACATATGTGGAAGAAAGAAAAACATAAGAATTGCCTATAATTTGTGAAATTATATTTTTCATTCATTTTTCTAAGCATATATATCTTAATATTTTATATGGTAATTGTAATCTTTTTTTTTTTGGGGTCTGATATGGTAACCGTAATCTATTACTCTAGATAACATTTTCTATATACTAATTGAGGAGACACTAAATAAAAAAAAATCATATGTGTCAATCAATGGGAATTTTAAGGAATATGTCATTAAATTTAACCAATCAAAATTACATACCATAGTGGAATTCTCTACATATTTTTATTAATTTAATAATAAAACTCCATTAATACATATTTTACAAATTTAAATTCAACTAAATGTAATATTTTGATATTTAAAAATTTTATATAACATAATGTTTTAACGATAAATCATTTACCGATATTAATTATTTTATAAAATTGTCTTCATGTCCATTTAAATACTATATGTGATTGATCATTCAAC